ATCATGCATGTACTCTGTGTACTTCAAAATATTATGTATAGCATAGTTTCACTTTTGAGTTGGAACATACTACTGGAATGACAAACGGCGTATCATGATTTATATACTGTATGATGTCTGAAATTCAATGAATTCGCACAATTTATTTCAAGTTGAAATGGAATACCGAAATATCCCACGGAGAAAGATAATTTATATACTATATGCTGTTCGAATGAATGAGAAGTTTCTTTATTCAATACGACTTAAAATGAAAACTCTGGACAATACAAGTTCGAGGATAAGTCGCATATTCAATGTTGTTTGAAATTTTCATACACTGTGTTACTTCAGTTTTGCTCGAATTGAAATATATGAACAGTACATGTCGTGCAATCATTTGCATACTGCTTATTCTATGAAATTTTATGAGTTTCATATTTTCATTATTCGTTGGCAGAGATATTGGAACGAGAGTACCCAAGCCGACAAAATTTTCCAAAAACGCGTTTAAACACTATAGTTTTCTATACCGTTTTTGGATGCTAGTTGATGTTCCCGATTACTAACCAAAAGTGTTCAAGATAATGCATCATGAAAACGCTAGATATTTTCACACAATGGATGGGGTGTGGGTGTGGGTGTCGATAGAAGTGGAAAAATCTACAGGCCCACACACCCACACCCACACACCCTTATATACTGCATGATCTCCGAAATATTCACAAGTTCCTTTGGTTGATTGAACCCGAAATGAAAATCTAGGACAGTACATACTGAAGGATGATTCCCATACTTGATGTAGTTTGAAATTGTAAGATGTTTTTACTTTTCTGCGGATGAATTGAAATAAGGAAAGATCAGTTGAGGATAAATTATTCAAATAGTGTATGTTGTTCTACTTTTTTATGTGTTTCAATAATTTATTTGCACTGGAACTAAAATACTTGATCAATGAATGCGGAATGAGGATTTGTATATCCTGTGTTGCTTTAAATTTTTACGGTTCTCATTATTTTATCTGAGTAGAAATACAAAATGCGAAAAATATATGCCGAATGATCATTCAGGTATTCTGTATTGTTGGAAGTTTCCTCAAGATTCATTAGCTTAGTTTTATTTCAAACGAAATGCTCAAAGCAAACCTGGAATATAATGAATGATTTATTTCTACTCGTATGCGATGGGTACTAGCTGTCATGGTTTGAGTATCATCAAAATTTCATTTAAGCTAATTTTTCAAACGTACTAGCGTACATAGAAATTTCACAATATTGTAACAAAAAGAGCCAAAAAGGAGAAATCTGTTCATAAATATTTTGATGAAAATTTACAAGATAGTTACGAAAGGAACGTGCTTTGTAGTAAAATAGACTATTATGTTACTGTATAATGTGATTGCAAGCAATTCAGTAAGGGGGAGTTGATCAATCACCTTTCGTCACATATGAATTCGGTTAGGATGAAGTAGAAAATCAATTAGAGAAGCAGTTTCCTCTTGTAACGAACAACTTGATTAGAGTAGCTTGTGCCACTCTCGGCAAAGATGTTTATTAGGCTACTTCAAGTTATCCAAAGTGTAACGACAAAACTAGAGTGTCGCCTATGCCCGTCAGCATGATGGTGTATTGTGTCATCTGACATCTCCAGAGTGTAACAACTTCATACATGACGCACGCATATATAGGAGAGAGACAGGAGAGAGATACATTAGAACAATAGAAAGAGAACAGAAAGAGAAGGAAGGAGAATCATCGAAGCGTGCCATCAATATCGGCACACCTCTACTGCAGCTAATGTTGTTAGATTCAGAGTGGACAAGTGAGACGTGTTTGATCGCAACTCACAACATTTTCTAAAGGTTCAAGTCTAATGCGTTCCAGTCATTAGTTATTGATAAAATATTTAAGTCGAAAATTAGCTGCAACATCCAATATATAGCTTGAATAATGCCTAAACCTGAACTGAAGGATACATTTTCAGAGTAGATACTGTGTTAAAACTTTATTTGGTTTCTTCCATCTCTAGTTTATTATTTGATGACAATAAACTCTGGTTAGTACTACAGAGTTCGAGGGTGAGGACATGAACCTTTTCTAAATCTACACTCCATATCCATACAAAATCATGCTGTGCTGTTATTATTAGTAAAATATGAGCTACTTTAATTTTTCAACTTACACTGGTCAAAGATATACTAGATACTAGAGACAACAAGGATCTGGATCTTCTTTTATACTGATACATCCACGCCCTAAATGGTACATTAAACATCAAGACCACGATGTCCTGCGAAACAATATCAATACATACAAATAGATCATAAGTAGCCGATGCACATGTTGGAGTTTGGTGTCACAATCGAAATACATTTATCAATGCAGATATAAACAGACAGCAGATCAATATTAAAAACAATAGTCTCTTCTATTGTCTATGAAACTAAATGAATCGAAAGAATTAAAAGACAAACTCCCCAGGTGAAAAAACGGCCCGCAAACGGCCTGAAACGGCATAAAAACGATGTAAAACGTTAAAAAACGGCACCGTTTTCCGTCAGCTTGGAAAACGAAGAGAATGGTGTTAACAGCGGTGGCCGTTTTCTAGCAAAAAAAACGGTGCGTAAAACGAGCTGATGGATTACGGCGAAATAAGGTAAAAATTAATGCCGTTTTATGTCGTTTTATAGCCGTTTCAGGCCGTTTCCAATGGCCTTTCAGACGGCAGGATGATCCTCCTGGGTCGAAAGAATCAATACATTAAGAATTACCTTCACTACTATATCAATTCTCTGATCGATTTCAAGTCTAAAAAATGTTCAATTTGTTTCAATAACATTTTTTGTTCATTGATATTCGCAATTCGGATGTGCATCATTTCATTGAGTACATGTGATAAAAGGACGAGCTCATCTAGATCAATTGAATCAAGTGATTGAAACTCACGTCGCCAGGATTATCATTCCGACCATCTGAATCGGCGTCTTATACGGCCTGATACGGTTATAAAATGGTACAATAAGGCATTAATTTTCATCTTATTTTGTCGTAATCCGTCAGCACGTTTTCCGAGCTGACGGAATACGACACCGGTTTTTGACGTTTTACATCGCTTATACGTCGCTAAAGACCACTTACGCGTCGTTTTCTTGGATCTGGGTCGCTTTTCCAGAATCTTTGGTGATGGTGGACGATGAGCTAAATTAAGATTTAGACTTAGTCAGATTGCGAGATAAAGAGAAAAAAAGGTTTACCTGATTCTGACAAACTAGGGGAAGTTTGTTTATATTGCAAGTGCCAAAAATCAGCCGTATATAATTGGCGGTTATCAGTGTGTAGCGATTGTGAGAGGGTTTGTATGTCAGTGAGGGGAAGATGTACACATCCATGCATACACACATCGATTTGCATTGCCGTCACCTACAAGAAAGAGTAAAATCACTCAAAAGGATCTTTCTTTCAATCATCCGCAGACAGTTACCTTTTACAACGTCATTGATAATAGATGAGGTTATTGTGTCACATGTGATCTAATACTCGAAAATTATAACTTGTTGCTTATAATAGGTAGTTATTCATAGATTCCAATATTAATCTAATCAATTGACAACTCTCATACTTTTTCGGATGACAGATGCTTTATTCAAGTTCAATGGTGTCAGTATTATTTATTATTATAGAAATAAAAAGGTAAAGTTTCGGCAATTTTCTGTTTATAATGTGGCAACTTCATAATCAATGAATACACCGTACAGATATGTCGAACTTGAAACTTGAAAATTTCAATTTTCAACTTTTAAGCCAATAGCATTTTGAAAAATCGTGACTCACACATATATCGCTATGAGTTGAAAGTTAATATTTTCTATTTTCAACTGAATTCAAGTTTCAAGTTTGACACTACTGACGCCGTAGAAGATTAAATTGGGTGGACCTTGCAATTTGAGCATGACTTGATAGTTTGAATCTGTGTTGTGAATAAGTTCAGTAGTCGACGATCTTAGCTTCGATCTATCCAGATTCTTATTTTTCTTGAATATCAGGCAAGATTCTTCGGCACAGGAAAGAAACAAGAGTATTGCCTGTTATTCTAGAAAAAACATAAGCTTGTCTGATTGATCAGATAAATAAGAATCAGGTGAGAATGTAAGATATTCAAGATTTTTTAAAATTCAGACAAGAATCTTTTTTCTTTTCCTTTCAACGATTCTTATTATATCTTAAAGAAAAATATCACGTGATATCTTTGTACATATACTTATACATATACAGAAGTCTGAACGTTATATCTTTTTCTTTCTAGATGATAACGAAGATGACGCTGACGAACTGTAACAGGAGTATCTTTTAAATAGATAATTTTGTTTTGTATTCGATATGAACTTATTGTATATTTCCTTGCACCTGCAATGTGCTTTTTGTGTATTTTTTTAAATTCGAAATTAAAATATAATAGAACCGAAACATTGGTGGGCCAGCGTCTGATATGGAGGTGCAGCAATAAATAGTAATGCCTAGTTTTTTTTAAAGAAAAACATGTTTTGGATGTGGCATATGTATATATACAGATAAACATATGCCACTAATAATATTTTCAGGTGTGGCAATTGCCACCAATTGCTTCGTGGTGGCCTGCCGATGGACCGAAAGGAGGAAACCGTATGGATGTCTAAATTAAACTCATTTTTATTACAAGGATTTATCAAAATGGCAAGAATTTTAAGAAAACAAGAATCATACCAGAAAAGCAAGAAACAAGAATTTTGCCTTTCTTGCAAGATCTGTTTTTTTGAGGGAAGAATCTTATACAGAAGGAATGACAAAATAATCTTGTCTGATGTTCAAGAAAAACAAGAATCTGGACAGATCGAAGTCAAGATCGTCGACTAGTGTAGCTGATGACCAATATATTTTTTCAATACGGAACATACGGAATTTTATTATTGTTCAGTCAATTTCTATCTATGCGAACGTTGTCATTGTTAGTATTGGTTTTAAGACGAGAACAATACTTAAGAATGATTAAATAAGTTTGTATGAATTAATAATAATGCTTCCAACATGTGACGACACAGGTACATGGAAATTATGACGATTTTCAATCACTTGCTTAGCAAATGTCAGTGGATTTAATGTGAATTGCGCGTGTTCGATCGATAAATAAAGACGATGTTTTGAACTACTCACGAATCCATCGACTGCAATCCAACCTTTTTCGAAGGCTGCTACTTCGACAAGGTTTCGCGGTTGAGGGCACAAACTTAAACATTGGCAATATGCTTTTTGCTCGTCAGCGGTTTCAAAATAAAGAGTGCCGTTAAAGACAAATAGTTGAGTCAACCATTCTATGGGTATAATGAAAGTAGCAGTTCCACTAGGGAGACCAATCGACGGAGGAATCGTGAGAGTCGGAGTATTGACAAATATTGATTGAACCCGCTTAATACGAGGTAAAAATAAGCGTAGTGTGGTTACCGATGGCATTTTGGATTTCAAATTACCCATCAACCAGTTAGCTTCAAAAGCACTGATAAAAATGATATGTCGATTTTGATAGACAACAATCCATCGTGGAGGGCGAAGAAATGGATTTAATGACTCTCCTCTACTCTCAATCACATGCTGAAACTCAGTTGTAACCCAAAAATTTAATCGCCAACTGTCTGGTTGACAGTTATTGAAAAATGTCGTACCAATGAAGGCATACATCAAAGGACGAAATACATTAGGTAGTTGTGCTAGATTCATAACTTTACTATTTATGTCAAACAATCGTTTGATTTCTTCATGTAGCTTAGGTTGTTGTGGCTTGACAGGTACAGGATGTGGTGATTGTCGTTCCTCTTCCAATTCATGTTCTAATTCTCGCTGTTGTTCTTCATCTAACAATTGAGCTAGACGTAGTTTTGTTCCTCCATATTCACATAATCGTTTTAACACAACACGGTGAATATCTTTCGACAAATGATGATTGCATTGCCTATATCGAGCAAGATAAATTTTTGCAACCGTCTCTAGCACTCTTGTTGCACCATACATACGTTTTAATTCAATTATTTCTGCTTCTAAGCATTCATTGGCGAAATTCTCCAACATTTTATCAGTAAACTCTTGCTGATGGTTCATCCATTGAATAGTTTGACATGCACTTACTTTTCGTTGAAAACTTAAACTTTGTGCAGCCCAATAATGTAATCCATCCCAAGTCGATTGCTGTGTATTTTCATAAACCCAACGAAGAATATCAATTAGCTTGATAAAATTATTACTATTGCCTTTTTGATTTTCAATACATGAATTTTTCTTCAATGTTATAATTTGTTGATGAACTTCAGTTGAGCTCCAAAATGTCAATCGATGACCCTTTCCTAATTTTCTCATTCTCATACAAGCTTGAACAAAACGATCTTTGGTTAAGCCGTTTCCTAAGGTAACTGCAGCTTGAAATCCACTTGGAAATCTAAAATCAGTTCCCCGTGTATGAATTTCATCCAAATAAAATACACAACGATCTAGTCGTTCACTTGCCGGTGATGTTTCAAATCGATAATGATGAAGTTGGCGATCACAAACAACAATGGAATCGGAATCAAAATAAATGGCATAATCAATCTTGTTTTTATTAGATTGATTTAACCATTTAATAGCTATATCTCGATTAGTTCCATCGATGAATAGTGCACCGATATCTAAGATAACGTTAATACTTTCTTTGTAGTTTACTATTTTATTTAAAATGTGTTCGGAAGTGGCATTGATTGGTAAATATTGGTAGCTTTCATTTTCAGGTTGTAGTAAGTTGTTAACAACGATGGCATCCGTTTTCTGAAGTTGAGGCAAATCGCACTGGCGGATATCAATCGGAAGTAATAGTTGTGTGTCATTTGTACCACTAAATCCAGTTATTATGTTTGACCGATTCGATGACGACAAGTCCCAAGCTGATGACACTATTTTATGCGGAAATTGTTTCGCTTCTCGAGGAAATACAAAATAATTTAGAAAATAATTGACGACTAACATATTGTATCGTAGAGTCGGAAACAGATCATGAGTTCGTTGCTGATAATCTTTTAAATTAACGCCTTTCCATTGTTTGATGCTTGCCGGTACTTGATCTTGCTCTTCGGCTAAAATCCATTGTTCATAAATGGATGCAGGGTCAGTTTCTTTTGCACTCAGACGATCGAAACATTGAATCAATTGTGAATCATTCAAGCCAGAATAATAATATGAGAGTTGTGTTAATACTAAAGCAACATCAGGATGACCAAATTCCGTTCTATCGGCAGCAACATCCTTTGCACGGAAGGGTACAGCCATTAAGCGATTAAAGGAAGGATTCGGCGTAACACCATAATTCACTCGATATCTTTTTTTCAAAGCAACTAACAGAACTTCTGATGATAGCAACCCGCGAAACATTAAAAAACGTTCAATATCATATTGTGAAAATCTAGTAACCAGATGTTCAACGGATGAATTCGTTTCTAAAATGAACGGTCGAATGAGTTTTTCATCTTCATATCGATAAGATCTTTGATTAAGCCAATCATCGACTATCATTTGAGACAACAGCGAAAATGGTTGATGTGATTGCAAACGAAATTGTGGAAAAGAGCTTTTTCGTTCTAATGGTTTATAGAAAACGTCTTCACTGAAACGATTTGAGATATCTTGAGCATGTTTTTTGACTAAGTGAAGTACTAATTGAATGGTATTCCATCGGTCTGCGCCTCCATCAACGTGTTGTTGACCACCCACAGTATAAACTAATTGATATTTAACATGTAGAATTTCATCAGATTCATCTAATACATCACGAGCAAATGTCTTTAACCATCGTTGAACCGTCAACATAGAACGACCAATGTTGAATTCATTGCGTCGGCATTTGTCTATGGTAAGCAAATCAAATGATAGAATATCTTCTGGCGAAGTTAAGGTAACATCACAATTACGTAACCCATGTTGGAGACGAGTAAAAATTTGATTTATTTGTTCATTATTAAAATTCATATCACGACGACATGAAAAAGGAAATATGCGTCTATTCAGTAAACCGCCTAATTTATATCGTAATGATTGATAATTTGTCGGAAATAAAGATTTAAGTACCACTATACGAACTAAACGGGAATCTGATGAAGATAAACTAACAGCTAACATTGGTAAAATGATTGACGTCTTGCCTTCTCCCATATTCATTTGCATGACTAGATTTTCTACCTTAGCGTTGTCCGCTGTCACAACTGACTGCATCATATGACGTGCTACATCTATTTGAATGTCTCGGATGGTAATGTTCATTTCCAATTCTAGAATCAGCCAAGAAATATGTTCGGAAGGTATCCAGTTTGAATGTGGTATATGAGATATTTCTTTTGTAAACTCTTCCAATTGGTCATGCATGGCATAATGCAAAGCTCTTTCTAGTTGCTGCTCTAATGTCCAACAGACTAGAATACCACCAAGTAATGTGAACTGAGCGGCAGTCAAATTAGATTTAGTTACGTTTTGTTGGAAAATTGTGATGAGAGTTGTTGGCGTAATTCGTACGGTCAGACCTATATCGAATAATTGTTTATTGAATTCTGTGATAGATTCTACCAATGCATTCCAGCTTTTTGTGGATTCGTTGCGCAAAAAATTGAGCGATTCGGTAATTTCCTCAATTGAAACATCGACACGTCGACATTGATTGTCCGATATCAGTTTTTTCCAACTTTCTTCTAGCTGATTTTTAAAATAATTGCCGATTTCTTTGAGAGGATTCTCTTCATTGTTAACGGAAGGGAAAATCTGATCGGGAAATATAGTCTGTCGGTTAGTAGTTTGAAATGTTACTGCGGCCTTATCGAAATGACCTGAATAAGGACGGTGAAATTTTTCAGCAGCACTTCGTAACAATTCTTGAGCAATTAGTCGATTTCCCGATTTGACACATATCTGATGGTGGTCTTCAATTAGTTCAGCTGCAAAATTTTGAGGATAATATAATACTTTGGTATGGAACTTCTCTATGGGAACAATAGAGATGCGATTTTCAAAATATTCTAAAAATAATCGAAGTTTTCTGTTATTTTGCCAAGACATTAATAATTGATTAATGTGAGCGATTTCACTAAAAGTAACCAATGCATTGCTGTTGTCATAGTTGCGATGATTCTGCCAAGAATTTTCGACTTCTGCTAGAATTCGGTTTTGTATCTCCGAAGTATAATAACTTGATAAATTAATACGTCCTTTGACAGGCGAAATTTCTTCCATGTTGAAATATTCAATAAATGGTGGAAATTTGGCAATTTTCATTAACGGATTAGGAATTTTCAGTGCTGTTTTAAGTAATTGCAAGTAATAAGTTTTTGTCTTCAGTTTTCTGGAGATGTAACGAAAAAAGTCTATTAATTTTTCAAAGCGTTCGATTTCGTCTTTGGTGTGCTGAAACTGTGATATCTTTAGACAGTGAATCCTTTTCAATAATCCAATCCAAATATTTTTCAATTGATTTTCATCATTAAGCCATTGAGACAAAGGTAACCAATGCTGCTGTGAACAGTCCGTAAGCTTTATATTGCCTTTTTTATACATATCATCGACAGGACAAACAGCAGTGTGATTGATTTCATCTGGACAATATTTCGGTGCAGTCTGATATGACTTTGTATGCAATGTGCACAGGATATTTTGTTCCATCTTTATGGATAATCTAGCTAGAGGATTATATGAATCTCGATAATCCCAATAGAGTTTTTTCAACAAAGACTCATTATAAACTTTTCCTTCAAATAATTTCGGCATATCAGTAGAAGCGGACGATGAATATATGAAGTTCAACTGTTGACTATTCTGAATAAGTTTCTTTGCTATTAAATAATAACCAAAATGTTGCATAGAATAATATAAACCATTAGTATTCCAATCGATTTTTTCCATACAAGTCAGATGTACTGGATAGTAATCTACTTTCGGCGATATGGCAGCGATTTGGCCTAATATATTTAGAGAGAGAGAATCGAAAGGTTGATCGGACCAACAACCAGCAGAATTTAACAATTGAAAGGCACGTTCCATTCCAGTCATTTCAGTATACTCGTCAGGTAAGGGATGAGATGTCATTGCATGTAGCAATGCTAAATACAGCCAACCAATGGGACTGTAGGTCGATTGAAGGATTCTTAATCGATCATTTAATATGAAAACAAAATATTGGTGTAGAAAAGATACTGATGATGATCTCTGTATGGTGACAATTTGATCGGCATTGTTGTATGCTATTTCTCTATGTATTTCTCCAAAAGGTACGATCAGTTTTCTATACGGATAATATTCTACTGTTTGGCTCTTGACGAGCAATGGTGATAAGAGAAGACCAGATGTTAAACCTGTTAATGTTCCCAACCATTGCTGTTCGTCAATACGCATATCTGGATATTCATGAGATGTAATTATGCTCGTTCTAGTGTTGTATTGAAAAGAAATTCCTAAACGAGATAAATAAATATGAATCATGAGGTCAGTATGAGAAAGATGTTCTCGCATCATGTATATGTACGGTTTATCATCGAGACGAATAAAGTATTGATTGAATAAACTTTGAAAGAATGTTGATGATTGATTAACCAACATTTGTGTATTTCCTATGCCACTAGTAGTAATATATCCTGTCAATAGTGATAACATGTAGGATTTATTATTCAAAAAATCGATATCTTTAAAATGAACTGGTCGAAACTCGATTGCCTGACCTTTAGCATTCCACCAATGGCTGTGATTAGAGACAAGCATATCTGGTAGTTCAGTTTCAAAACAACTATGAGGAATTAATTGAAACATATCATTCGACTGTGTGTATCGTTCTTTAATAACCAAGTGATTAGTTCGATCATTGAAATAAAATTCATATTGGACGATTCCAGTACCATGATACGAATGTTTAGTAACATATGTATGAGGTGAATCGGCTGCTTGAACTTCAAAGATGTGATCGCCAAATACACGAACAAACAATTCATTGAAAATGATCTGCTCAGGTAAAAACCCTATAGTCATACCATCGATTAAAAACGTTCCTCGAATACAATTTATTGAAATGCATCTTGATTGATATTGACAATCGTACCAACCATCATATTGAGCATTGGTTCTTTTTTTCCATTGTCCGTTCATGCTACCTTTTCTTTTGGCGATTGCCCAGTAGATAGTTGTAAATCTATTCAAACTTTGATACATCGTTTTTTGTAGGAATGCGGCAACTGTCGGCTGTATCATGACTAATGTACGTTCGCCGAATCGCATAATATTTCTCATAAAAATACTCATATGAGATTGATTCTTGCTTAATATAATATTATCGTGCACTGTAGTTGCTGCTTTTAGTAAAGACACGACATGTTCATTCGACGACAATAAAAATCGGATTCGATCTGGATATGTTGAAAATGTTAAGATACAGGAAATGCCAACATTCACCATTTTAAGACGAAGGTTTTCTATTTCATCAAAGGCCGATGGAGATACATTTTGAATGCAAATTGAAATTAGATCGATCCATTTCTCACCAGTTTTACGACATTTCATCGCTAAATTAACAACTTTATCTTCTCTTGTTGAATTACAAATGGTTAACACTCTCATGGTAATCATTGTAATGACGACTAATACCAATTCATTCTGCCAATTTAATGCACAATCATTTAAATGACGATCAAATCTTGACAGTAGTTCATCGACAAAATGATCTTCTAACAACTGTCGATGTGATTCTGGACACCAAGAATTAGGCGATGTTCTTAAATTTGATATCCAAGGGCCAGATTGTAATATTGAATGTATAATTAATATTGCTACACTCTCTTCAGCAAACGATAATGAATCCATCTCAAGAATTGTCAGAAGATTCCACCATTGTAAATGATGACCCGAACGAAATGAGCCGAATTCTATCAGCTGTGAGGGTTTCAAGCGTGATGAATAACTAGGTAGTTGAGCTATGACATGATTTTGGACGAATTTTGTAGTGCCTACAGTAAATTGCAACTGTTTATAATCAGGATGATCAAGCTGAGGTGTCAATACACGACATTCATCCTCGAACGTGATCGATTTAATTGGTGAAATTTGAACCTGCAAACTATTTTCGAATAGAAAGTCTTGGGCAGGCGTGGATACAATTGATGGTGGAGTAGAATAGTGAGTTTGCGTTATAGATTTAGTTGAAGATACTAATCTAACTTTGCAATCATTGGGACCGGTATAGAATGACTTTAACTTGTTGCCATGAGGGGAAACCGTTAACCATTCATGCATACGATTCTCTGGTTGTGGTTTAGAACGATTTATAAATTGCCAAATGATATCTCGATAACATCTTATTTCAATAGGCATTTGTAATTCGAATATAACGGCTAATGCACTCTCACGTGCTAATGGCATGGGGCATTCGTAAATTTTCACTTGAATTTTTTTTGCTTGTTTCTGAGTTTTACATCGTTTGCATTTTTTATTATGATGATTGGTAGTAGATTCACAAAAGGAATTATCTACTATAGTCATTAGCTGCATATACCTTTGCTTCGCATTGTTGACTTCTATTATTTTATTTTGCTTATCCTGTTCGGCTTGAATTTGAATGCGTTGTATGTTGTTATTCATTTCCGACGAGTGATCAGCAAAATATACGCCAAATGCCTCCTCAGATTCTATATTGTCCAAAAGATCAGGATATGGCTTGTTATTGAATTCAGTAAAAAACAAGTATAGATCACGCGCCATAATCATATCTTCTCGATTAGGTAAGATCAAATATTCGAACAAATGCAAAAGATTGGGAATATGTATAGAATGTAGTTTCAGTCGCTCAAATCTTTTATCTTGGCATAATTTTTTATGCATGCAACGAATAATAGTCAATGATGTTAGAATAAATCGGCTGTAATTCATCGGATCGGTAGGACCATTGTCTGGCCAATAATAACGTAACGCTTCACTCTGATATTCTTCGAAGAAGCGTAGTAATAATTCGAAACGATTCTTTCCGCTTACAAGCAGTGATGGGCGGTTTATCCATTGCTCTAAACGTGATAGAACCCAAATATCTATATGAGTCAATGCTGTTACAAATGTATATTTCATTTCGTTTACTAAAATATCATATGAAGGTATATAATCTTCTTGATTAACATTCGTGAAAACGTCATGATTCTTAACATCTGAAAATGACCCCGATACTTGATTTGAATTGACATGATTCAGATACGCCTTGAATTGTACACACGGATGTTGACAGATCTCAAAATCATTAAGTTTTATATTATTCCAGCTCGATATCTGGCTCTTTTTTTCACTCTTCTTGTTGGATTTTTGCCAATTGAGTTTTGAAAGAATTTTATCGATATTCATTTGTATTTCCTGTTTCGTATGCTGGATCCATTGGTTCATATCATTTGAATCCATGGGCAATAGCAAGTCATCAATCTTATTCAACCGACGTACAATTTTTCGAATGCAATGAACTAAGAAATCAGTGGATATACTAAAATGCCTTGTGCAAATGATATGAGTAAGAAATTGGGTGATTAACAATTTATAAACGATGGTACCAAACTGTCCCAAATGTTTGACTAGAATTGTATGAAATACAGTCTTGATGATCATCCATAAGCCTGAACGTCGGAAAGGTAACAATGCTTGATTCCATCGAACTTGATCACGATGTTTTTTCGTAAATTGAGTGGATTGATTGGATTCGGTCTCGATATCTATACCGTTGAAATGTTGAATCCACCATTGGCATACATAGTGAGATTCTGGTACTTCACGTATTTCATCAAATTTGCAAGAGGACTTGTAAGATTTGGAATATTCGATGGTATTAAACATAAAATCCATCAACAATTCGCAATGAACTTTGGTATTCAATTGCGATCGATCGTACAATCTGTATTTTGTGACTGGAAAATAAGACAGATTAGGCATAAGAGAAGAAGTAATTTCTTCACATGGTAATAAAACTTGCCAAGCTGAAATCAGTGCTTGATTAATATTATTTTCATCGATTTCAATTAAAATTGCCGCATTTTGAGCGTGAAAATAAAGGGGAAGAAAGCTGCCTGGTTCTAGTTGTGCAATAGTGGATTGTATATTCAATACATTGAAGTTTTGGAAATTCTGTAAGTGAGACCAACGTTCACCGCAATCTATAAGAATTCGAATCACTGATAAAATAGCCGGTGCATCAGGCCATTTGACTGAATTCAAGTATTCATTCATAGAATCCAATAGTTTATGTTCATGTTGATGATTTTGCTGAATTAAAAAATCATTATCCGCCGAAGACGGTAAGTAATGCGGAAGAAATAGATGGTTTAAGAGTGACTCATTCATTCGTTCCGATTTTAATAAATTGTTGCTTCTGAATAACTTATTTTTTTATAGAAAAAAAAACCATTAACCGATGTGCAAAAACAACTCTAAATAACGGAAAGAAGCAAAAGAAAACAAAAATATAAGGGCGTGCGATACAATCAAAAAGCTATCCTAGCCATAAGCCGAAAGAAGAAAACAGCAACAAATGACTGCTGTTAGCTTCAATAGAGGGCGTGAGAGTGTGAGTATGGATGCCATTGAACTGAGATTCCTTGAATGACTTCATCCACACCCACACCCAATTTATTATTTATTACTATAGAAATAAAAAGATAAGGTTTAGGCATTTTTCTGTTTATGATTTGGCAACTTCATAATCAATGAATACACCGTAGTAGAATAAATTGGGTGGACCTTGCAATTTGAGTACGACTTGATAGTTTGAATCCGCATATTGAATAAGTTTACTTGCTGTTGTTGTTACTTCTATTTCTTTTCCATCGATCAGTCTATACACATTTGAAATGGCACCCATCATATGATCGTTGTCAAACTGAACCATATAATTTTGTTGTTTGATAGTGAATGGTGTTTCAATAATCATGGTTAAATTACCGATAGGATAGGACCAAAAGAAATTGATCGAAGTACATATTTCTGACATATTAGTATGAGCGAAGTTGAGTGTTGCCGTTTTGCAATCACCTCTAACGCTGACTGTGCCAGAGCACAGATCATTTGACCAAAATTGAGCTTCACACGACTCATGGACATCATTGTCTCGAACAGGCACACCTAGAACAACTGGTCGCACTATCACTGACACTAACAGAACGAAGACGATGGGAGCATATTGCATGGTGTATAAATGAAAAACGAAAAAATCTCAACCTATTTATATACGATAGTCAGTATTCACATACAGAGAGTATAATGAAAGAGAATGACAATACAGAAACGAAGCGAACAGGTGGACGGGATTTGACGCGTACAAAATAGATTGATTTAATTACAAAAGCAAATATGTTATTTCGCATGTCATCATTACCATCATACAAAAACACATGTAACGGATGTGGATAAGAGAGGGATCTCTTATCCCCCTAATCGACTATGAATCATGTTGTTCAATATATAACGTAAGTTTAATAAATGCCACAAAATATTTTATATGAAATAGAATGCGCGTCAATAGTTCAAAGTTGAAACACTTTTTATTCTGTTCATAATGCAGAAATAATATGTTACAAATAATGTAATCACTCTTTTTCTTTACTCTATCTTTTTTAATTTAGCTATTAATAAATGTTTCATATAGAAATGCAGCAAAATGAAAATACTTATAAGTGATGTCGTTTTCACTTTTACTGTTACATGAGTAGTCATTTTTTTGTTGTGTTACACAGTTGACTCACGCATGAGAACACTGGTAGAAAAAGTCGGTTAGAACTTTCTCATGCTTGGTCGACGATGTAACATAGAGAGACAAAAGGTGGAACAATAGAAGAGAATTCCCATAAGAACACATATAATGAGTAATGTAGGAAAATGCTTTGGATTTTTATCCATCAGAACACCTGAAAATAAAATTAGAAAAAAAACTATATTTTCAAACAAAAGCGAGTTAACTGACCAGCTATTCTCTGAAAGGACATTGATCCAAGTGAGGAACTACATAAGAATATACCAACCATTAATGGAGTAACGTTCAATCGTTTATTGATAAAACTGAACGATAAGGGAAAGATTGGAGCGAAAATGAGGCCAGTGAAGGAGCCAAGAACAAACAGGCTAAAAATAGACAATCCAATGGTCCATACATAAATCAACCATGTTATTGCCAATGCTAACCCACCAATCCATAGCATACTTAACGTTACATCAACCGATAGAAACAAAGTTATCACGGCGCAGATTGCACGTCCGGTCTAAAGAAAAGTCTTTTCTCACAATACCAATGATGAACTGAAAGTTCGACTTACTGAATACGAGAGCCAGTATAATATCATACCTAAAGAAGCATTTTTTGTTGAAATTTGAAATTGTGGCAGTTTCAGATAAGAAAAAAAGAATTTGGCAAATACTTGATCGATAGCGACAATAAAAATCAAGTGAACGATCCATAGACTTGACATAAATACGCTGTAATTCAAATGACAACAACTATCTTGTTTTGGCAACTGTCGAGGATGACTGGATTGAATATCATCAACAGGTGTCGTATTAACCACAGAATAATTGACTTGTTGTACTTGAAGAGTTTGATGTCGAGTATGATATTTACTAATGGTAAAGATCAAATGGCCAATGGATACTACTAAGCAAAGACTCGCTGCAATTGAGTATGGTGTCTTGATATTTGTTGACGCTAACGATGAGAGATTTTGCATGGTAGAATTGAGATTTAAATTGGATAAGTCAAGTTTTCCTTTGTCGAGAAATTGAGCCATGAGAATATTGGCTAATGCAGCACCAATGCCGAAGCCTAAGTGAACCGTATTCAATGGAGTGGATGCATAATCACCCCACATAGACAATATAAGACTTGTGCCAGCTAAAGCATAATGTTCTTCGATATTATCATGACTTAAAATCATCAACAATACTGACCATTGTCGGTGAATCCTTGAGCGATTCCATGACAAAAGAACAAAACTGATAGAACCAACAACGAACGAATATACGGAGTGAAAAAAACGACTAAAAACAATATCAAATGATTGGATAGGGAAATGTTTAATTTGACTGACCCGTCGATGCAATAAAAAATGCGAGAGAAAGTAAAGCTTCCGGATATTGTTTGACCAGGTTTTGCATACCTGCTCCAGCTATACTTCCAGCCATGTATCCACCGCCTCGAACTGATAAAATTGTACTGATTCCAGTGAAAGTTACACCTGTCTGTATAGCTAATATTTTTAAAGTTGGACCCACTAGTTCCCCATGAATGCCCTATCATCAATCAAGAAAGTTTGTACAGAGACGAAACAATCGAAAGATAACTGACCAGAACAATCCAAGTGATCACCAAAAAACAGGTTTTTAGCAATTCCCAAGGTCGAGTAGTGTACACGAGCAGATTTGTCCTGTTTTTTGTTTCGACTTTATCGTTCGATACTGACTCCATTGATTTTCTTCTTCTTCGTCACCTATGAAAATTCAAACGATAAACAATAATAAAATCCAAAGACTTCGTAGGAGGTCATATCAGGCAGCTACTTCTCAGTAATAAACGCTTCGATAGGTTTCGCAACATAGAAAATATAAAGAATAAAAAACGATATTTAGTCTCTTCAAATATTACATTTGAAAATGTTCTCCACTATTCTTCGTCGTATAGATACCTTATATGAAGATTTTAGCAAAAAGAGCTAACTTAAAATATTTTGTGTATTTCGATTAGAAAACCACGAGAATATTTTTGAAGTAATTTAACGTAAACAGTCTACTCACACAAGCAATTTTAACAAAGACTTTGTCTTATCATGAAAATTAAAACAATGAAAGAAATGACAAGAAACTTCTTATGACAAATTCATTCTTTTGGTGTCACGTTTTGACCTTGAGATACCCCTACAAACATATATTTACATCACAAAAGTTATTATACGTAGATCGTTTATCTTTTTTTCATATATACAACCATTGCATCTTACTCTCATATGTGTTGTAGGGTTACTTTTACAATAAAAACTCGAAGCAATTTGTTAACCGATTCAATGAAGTGTCCTCGTTAGTATATTTAAAAGTTTACAAATGTTACAGACACTTTTTCTTTATTTTTTGTGGATGTGACACTTTCAAGGTCAAGAGAAACTCAGAATCACTGTAGATTTCAGATAAATACTTTCTCTATGCACATGCATCGAGTTGACAATTAAAACAATTCAAATGAAGAAATAATGATAACAAGGAAGACAAGACAGTGGTCATTACTTTCTATCGAAAGGAGTTGATATCATTGAAGATATGCATAGTACTCGAGAGAGTAAATTTTCAATGTCATTGCAATCTGTTAATCAAAGCGGCTGTTATCCTTGCAGAAACATGACCGATTTGGATAGTCTCTCGTTCGATTAACTTTTCCAACAATTTCCTGTTTCGTCCCAATTTGAGTGCATCGAAAACCTTTCAGCGTTCGAATTCTTTGCCTGTACATCACATCCCATCTCAATTAAAAATTCGATTAGACCATGTCGACAACCACGAACTTTGAAACAGACATAAAGTAATAGATTATTTCCGTCCTCATCTAATCGATTGATGAGTAATGGTGATAATTTCAATAGCTGTTTCACAAGTTTGCGTTCTTTCTTCTGTAATAGAATCCAAAGCAAATTTGGGTTTATCAACCATGTGCTCGATTGCCGTCCGTTCAAGAGTGCACCAAATAATTTTCTTCTCCTCTTTCGATTCGCTGTCATAATATCAACATTTTGTCGACTATTCCAGAACCTTTGAAAAAAAATTCGTGCACACTCGTTGTCAGCATAAATGAATCGGATCACAGCAAGTTGATCACTCTTGATTAAATTACCTACAATTCGTTGAAACGTTTCATCTGCATCCGATGATATTGAGCTGTTTCAAGTATATTCATGAAATATAATTCGAAATATTTCACGATCAGTTAAAGGCTCAGACAAATTAATCATACTTGATACATCGAAAAGCATATTCTTCGCACAAACTTCCTCGCTATGTACATAGTTTAGACATTGTATAACAAAGAAAGTACATCCAAAACAGCTGTAAACCAATGTACATTGACAGAGACAGTTGATAGATTAAGTATAATAGAAAATAGTCCACACGACAATCTCCATCGATAGTATAGCCTATATTTTTTAGAAGCATTGGATTCGAAATAACTAATGCTTTGAACATATGCGTGAGAGACTTGATAAATTTTTCATTGACAGATCAGTAAAAGCAGTACTGACATAGAATAGATTGTAAATTATTGAACCTTGCTTTCAATTCTTTATCTAAATTTTGAATTTCAACATCGGTGAGATGTGCCCGTATAGTTTGAAACTGTTCTATGCTCGATTGAAACTGATGGTTGGATAAATTATCTTTTTCTTTTATATACGTGCTAACTAATGATTGAAGACATTTGTTGAGTTCTGTATCATTTTTTGTTGCTTTCAGAGATAATAAATTTTGAGATATATCCTGAAACGATTGAGTATTGTAATAGTAGTTGATTTCTTTATCATTGGTATTCTCGTATAAAACATCATTGAATAGATGTAAACGTCTATCGACAAGAACGTTGTTGAAACGTTGATTTAAGCCCGAGAATGTTCGAAATATAGTATAAGCATTCCGGCAATATCGCAGAATTATCATCAAAATTTCATCGGGCAATGTTTAGAATTTAGAAGGCGAGGACACATGTTGTAGTAGTGTTCTATCTAAATATTTAGAAAAATAGTTATTTACTGTAAAAATATTTTGCCAATGTTATTACGCAATACCTATGTAGTCATTTTGTCAATTCATCTTGTCGTTTTCTATTCTGTTCGGTACATTGGATGAAAGAAGAAGCCAAGGGGCTTTAAAAAAATTTTGCTTTCTTCAATATAAAATATAGAAGAAAAAATAGTTAATAGATTCATTGCATAATTACAAAAATAATGTGCAATTACAGATGGAAAAGTTCAAGTAGCCAATGTTTCTGGGATATTCAGAAACACCGTTACATATCCAAAAAAATCCTGGCCTATATTGGAATTCTAATTTTGGGCCAAATATATATGCATGTATGAATAGTCATTCATTGTCCCGATTACTTAAATTTCATCCACAATGAATACGCCAAAAGCAAATCTAAGATGAAATACTAAGATCTTATACCAAGTCTGTCATCGTTGACCAAAAAAGGTATCTATAGAAAAGAAAAATGTATTGATCGGTTCTTTTTTTTTTCTTAACCAAATTCAAAATCATTCAGTTACTATCATATAATTATAATACTCATAGTAAATTCAATGGAAGCTATTTCTCAAAAGATATACTGATAAAAACAATAATTGATAGTCAAAATACTGCAAAGTGTACACATACTGTTGAAAATTTTCAAACCTTTCTAAATCAACAACTAGTATTGGTACTACTGTAATTTAAGACTGATTTAAATTTCCTACAATCGTAAAAATACAAAAGAATTAGTTTTCCCTTTGCTCTCGATTGTAAATTGTAGACTATACATTTTTATTTCTCTTCTTCCAATTACAAACCAAAGTGTATGTGTATTTAGTCTTCACACCGATCATCACGCTGATTACATAAAGAAAAGAAAATAATAAAATTTATTGTACAGTTGTTCTCTGATTTATTTGAAAATAATAAATTTTAATTACAAAACAACAATAATAATAATAAAATGTCATAAACAACAAATGTTCTACCACCATAAATATAAATCACGATTAATAAATGTAATAAAATAATGATGAAGTAAATTTTCTAATTTAATTAAAAAATTTAATTCTTTTAAACATATTTTCGGTGTTTCAGAAATACATATAAAGAATAAATTTTGTATTTCATTATTAGGTTTCGATAATAGAAATCGGACTATTTGTCCAATTTCTTTTCAATTCATTCTAGTTTTAAGATATTCTAGTTTTGAAAATAAATTAACAATCAATTGCATTACTTTATATGAATAAGCACAACGAAGATCGAAATTTTTTATTTTATTTGTTTTTTCTACACGTTGAAAATTTTCACTTTTTGCAATTAATTCTATATCGTTTTCTTTCAAACATAATAAATGCAATTTTAATGTATCGAAATTAAGTGTAAAACATAATAGTTTCACTATTTCTTCAAAAGGACACTTATAAGATTCTATAACTAATTTCGTAAGTTGTTTTAGAGGAATCATACAATTAAGATTTGCCGAAATCGAACTCACTAATGCTTCGAAAAACTGTTCGATAGTTAATTGAGTAGAATTTGGAAAGTAGTTTGTCCAATTTTGATTTATTTTTCTACTGCGAATTTTAACACGTTTAACCGAAGTTAAATTATTTTCCTGAGTTTGTGGATAAATTTGATTATCCAATTCACAATGAAAATTATAATCTTGCCTTCTATAAACAAAGAAACAAACAAAAAGGTGTTAGCGCAATCCGTGTGGGATTTAAAATGTGAAAACACGATATAGTCATGGTCTGTGGGAGTTAGAGCCCATCGGGTAGGGTCCGCGTCTAAGAATTTACATTTAATCGGGCCCGGGTTTGAGATTTTATTTTTCATCTGGTCCGAGTCTCGGTTCAAAGAATCCTTTTATAAGAATAATACAATTTTTCTAGTATACTTTTAGTTCTCATTCATTTTATTCAAAAAGTAATCATAAAAAAATTAAGAAAATACAAAAATAAAACAATAAAACTTTGTTGTTGAATATAAGATCTGACTTTGGCAATGCAGATAGATTTCGATTTCGAAAAAAATTATTTAATCGGGTAGGGGTACGGGTCCGGCTCTGAGAAATTTTATTTACTCAGGTTCGGGTCTAACTAAAATTGAATGGACTGGGTCCGGGTTCGGGTCTGAACATTTTGGACCCGATGGGCTCTAACAGGGGTCCAAGTTTCTACCCTATATACTCCTTGAAGATCGTGTTTCACAAAAAAATGAATTCTTTTGTTCTATACCGATATGGATTCGATGAATAAAAAGTGCTGATCTCTGGATTTGGTCGCTGATTGTGTTTATGTGTAAAGAACCATTGTCGTTTAATCCAAAATGAAGAATTAAATTGATCAATTAAATCATTATTTCATATCGAGTCGCGATAATTGATATCAAAAATATGTAAATATGGCATATGAAATAATATTAATTTTTTCCATTTTTTAGCATTTGAATACTCTTCACGATAACAAGTTGTAATATTTAAAATTTCAACAGAATGAAAAAATGTTTTTAGTATTTTTTCGAATTTATCAAATTGAATACAATCAATGTTAAGAGAAACGCATTTCAAATATTTTAATTCAATAGGAGACACATCTCTTAGTTCTTCACGAACACATTTCACAAGAGAATTAATTGATAAATGATGGAGTCGAGGACGACAAGATAATAAATTATTCAATGATTCAAATGGAAAACGACCATTAAAACTCAAATATTCCATAGGACTACAATCATCATGTTTCGTAAGATAACAAGGAAACATATTTTGAGAGGCTTGACTTTCATAGGCAATTTTACAATATTTTAATTTCGATAAACCCAATATTTGAGTAAGAAGCTGATTTAAGGAGTCGATATATTCACCAGGACAGATAATTAATGAATGAAGTTTAGGTGCTAACATTAAATAAAAAAACATTTTATCAAGGGTTTTCATTTTTATATTATCGAATATTAATGTTTCAAGATTGAAAAAATTTTAAAATTTCACGCGGTGGTGAGAACATAAACTCAGCAATAAATGGATTTGATAAGCGAACTGTATGAATTCGATGTTTATTCGGTATAAAAAAAATACTTGTAATAATTTCCGAACTTCGATTTTAACATGGTGACAATATTTACGGCCATCGGAAGATTCGAATTCATGATTAATTTTTCAAATAGCTTGTTAAGATGAAGAAATCCTTGATAAATACGATAATTATCGAGATAATCAAATATATCATAGAAAATTTCATTGGATAAATCTGCCATAAGTGATCTATATGAAAGCAAAAGATAAACACGACATCATCAAAGAAAGATTAATAATTTATTATCATATGATTCAATTATAAAAATAAAATATTGCTTAAAGAGAAAGTTTTTGTTTTATATGCTCAGTTCTGTTTTAAATTATTTTCACTAGATATGAACTCGCCCGGTTCTACAAAATTAGAAAATCTCTTGTTTCATGATAAATCTTACCACGCCATAATACACAATGAATCTCTAACTACTGGTTCATTTAGAAGAGTCTTTGGTTATCCAGTACGACGAGTTGATGAGAATAAATGTGAAAGATTTACTCGATTTCTCACTTATTTAAATTATATACATATTCAACTCGCCAGATCACGATAAGCGCATATCTATATTGATCTAAAGTTTTCTCGAATATGGATAAATAAAATGTGAGTGCTTTACTTTTCAGCGCTCACAATATTTTCATTTGGCATTTACCTCTTTCAATATTTAAGTTCAATTTATAATCATGCCCTGCCTGCTCTGATGTAGGACAGGGCAAAAAAGTTGCCCCGTGACGGTCTTTAGTATAAATGTCGATGCTACTGATCGAGACTACTGTTTTCGAACTACACAATAAAAACGAAACCGAATGTGTATCAGAGACCGAAACGAATGATAAAAGTGCCTTCGGTTCGATTCGGGTTTTCTGGTCTTACAAAATTTTCATTCGATTCGACTCGACTCGACTCAAATTGGGTTTACAAAACATGATATTCACTATTACATAGTATTGTTGTTTTCAGACTATCATCTTCTTAGAATGAGAATAGTCTGTCGATCTTCTATAGAAATATGTTGAATAAATATAATTTATGAATATATACATAAGAATTATTCATTTTTTTCAAGAAAGAATACATAACATATAAATTAATGAACACATCTAAGTAGACTAATTAAATAAGTTTATTTTCTATAGAACGAAGAAAAATAATGTCATTTACTGTATATGGATATATATTTACAGTTGATCGTAGCCATACTTAATAAATAAAGAGGTTAATATTAAGATCCAAATCACATTGGAAATGTGAATTAAGTTATAGTCGTATTAAGTAATCTAATTGATACATTAAGAGTTAAATTACGTCTAAAAGATTACTTAACTTTTAAAGCACTAATCACATGGCTCAATTCAACTATAATGTTAATTTACTTCTCAGTGTGATTGGGGCCTAGATATACATGACTAAAGAAAAAAAAGAAGGAAAGAAAGATGGAAAGTTCGTTGTAAGGGAGCATTTATTATGCCAATCAAAATGCACTTGACCATGATAACGATATGAACAGAACAAGGATGATCATTAAATAAGCACGACTGACAGAAACAAAGCAAGAGAAGCAGTGGGCGTCCCTTTTCATTCATCATCTCTTATACTAGTCAACTGCCCTCCACCATAACACTAGAACAGAGAAAATGATTTTGAATAGCTGCATGAAACTGAAAAAAATGAATCGATTCGATTCATTTTGGTCTCTGATGTGTATATACACGTGAAAAAATAAAAAAATTTCATCATCTTTTTCTTCTCTATATGCAGTCAATAGATTAGCGATAATCATATATGAATGAATTTTGCTGGTACTGTACAGTTTGAAGAAAAAAATAAAAGTGAGTAGCTGACCGATTTGACTCGTGTATTCGATAGCGCTTTATTTGTTGTGTACGAGTCAACTATTTTCCCGATTGTCAGGTTTTCCATTTTAGGAGAAAACCGAGGTTTCGAAGTATATCAAGGATCCGAGATTTCTTGACAGAATAAAATTTCTGTGTATAATTTGTCTAAATACATTGCTATCATATGTGAGACGAATCGTTTTCAAAAGTTTTTTTTAGAAACGCACTGTATAGCTAAGTTCTTTTCAACACTGTTTCGCGATAACAATGCAATGTCTAAAAGTGTCTACCAAACGACAAGAATCGATAGAAGCAAAAGAAAAATTATGTTTTCTCTGAAAATGTATCATTTTAATCTGCTGTGACACTTTTGGGGTAAAATACTATTTTCTAGTGAATCATACTTATTTAAGCGCTCAATTGTTTACAGCAGATCTATCATATAGTCAGCCAAAAAAGATTAAAAGAATCATTGACTAATCTCTTATAGCTAGCGAGAAATCAAAGCTGTCGTGGCGTTTAGTGCAATAACAACCATCCATCTGCTTTATTTTTACTTTTTTATTTGATCCTGAATATTTTTTTTTCATCAAAATATTTCACACTCTTTTCTGTATCAGAAAAAAAAGAACATTCAGTTAGCTTCTAAACAGTCTTTAGTAGTTGTAATTTGATCTGTCGTGACAAAAAATGGTCAAAGTGTATGTTTGGATATTTTTATGCAAGATTTGATCAGAAAATCAATTAAAGAAGAATTGTCGAAATTGATCGAGTAGAATTTCAGCTATGAGATTTTTCGTGTTCGCAGAGCAACTCTACAATACCAACGAAATTCATATGTATATGAATAAATCTAAGAAATAATTATTAAATCTATTCTGAAAAAAGAATATCTGATATAATTGTTTGCCTGTTCAGTAATGATAGACAATCTAGCATTAAAATATACATAAACAATTGACCACCATGTTTTCATAATCTTTTCGCGTAATGTATTTAGAATTCTTGAGCCGTATCCGATAAAAGTTTTCCCATGTTTTGACTCGTTCTGAAACATTTTACATTAACAAGCGAAACTTTCAGTACTTTTGAAGATAACAGTTGCTCGTCTATTTTAATCTTTGAATATTTCGGTACTTAATAAATTGAGAGAAAAATCGTATTTCCAGTCTCTTACAAAATAGTACAAGCCTTCCTATCATATGATGTTGTAAAAGTAAATACAGAGAGTATTGTCTGAAATTCAAAATGAATTTCTTTGCCAAATTTATGGATGCATAAACTCTGAGTAGTTTTTTATTGGATATTTGCCTCACTCAAAAGTCAAGCATATCTGATTCAATTTTTATCCTCCTTTCGCGTTTATGCTTTTATCTTTTTGCGTAGATACTTGCAATGCTCAAAGTGACGAAAGGATTATCCGATTGAAGTTCGTAGCGGCTCATTCCATCTTGTTAGTGTTTATTCGTTAGTAAGATCTTATCTTGAGAATCTTTTTTATCAAAGAAATAATTCATGAATCAAGAAAAGACAAGTGAACTAATTATGATATTAGACAATGAATGATTGAGTTAATACATCTGTTTGTTCTCAATCGTACGAATGCATGGCAAATCCCAGTGATAATATCATCGGGATTTTCCAAACAATTTAACAAGTCGCCTATCCGTATATAGATAGGTGGGTAGATAAATGGGTAGATATTAAAGACACGCAAAGTGGTCACGGCACCGATCACGGTTACGGTAATGGTTACGGGTGTGCCGATATTGATTGCACGCTTCGATGACTCTCCTTCCTCCTCCTTCCGTTCTCTCTTCATTGTTATAATATATCTCTCTCCTGTCTCTCTTCTATCTCTCTCCTATAAATACGTGTGTTATGTGTAAAGTTGTTACACTCTGGATATGTGAAGAAGCAAATAAACATCATTGCCGAGAGTGGTTGTAAGCTACCCAGTCAGACAAGCGTTGAAAAACACGACGTTTTCACGCGTTAAAAGCGCACATTTTGGTTCGTTACAGTGATGTGCTAAATGTTTTTTTGAAAATTCCGATGATATTATCACTGAGATATGTCATGTATTGTATTTCTTATCTATATGTTAAATTGAAGCTATTCACTACGGATGGGTCATTCTCTTGCCTTGTTTATAATCATATTTGTTCTCTATAGATCGCTTCATTTTCCTGGCTCTTTTTTTCTAGCGTTATGAATTTATTTAGTTGTGATTCTTCAATGAAATCTAAACGTATAGTAATGTATTTTTAACTTTTATTATTTATCATGGGTAATTCCTCTGTTTAGTGTGTCGTCGGGACTATTTTGTTCATCGCTTTATTGACACTGATAGCTTTTGCTTATACTCACTTTGAAGACAATCCTTCTGCGTGGAATGCTAGTGATTATCAATCCAATAGCGAATATTACAAGCAATTGACTGATATACATGAATTCAGTCAATTAGATAATCTTCGTTTGGATCGTCTTTCATCTCCTCGATTTCATCCAAGCAATGGAAAAACTATTATCTATCTTAGGGGACAATATTGTATGCACGATTTAAAACGCTATACAAGAACACTTCATTGGGTTGATTTAGAAACAAATAAAACTGTTCAATTAACACGACCTATTTGGAATATTTATGATAGCTCAGTAAATTTATTTCAGATTCATAAGATAAAATCCTATCCTAATCATATATTTTTCTTCTTTCGTTTTAGTTCTATTGGGTAGATGATAAAACAATTATTTTTCTGTCAAACCGAGCTTCATCAGGTCTTAATCAAATATTTCAACTCAATCTCCCTGATGATCTATCAATTACAAGCAATTATCTGGATCCAATTCAAATTACTGATTATCCACTTGGTATTGATCATCTGCTAGTCAATCGACAAGGAACACGTCTTGCATTTAGTTGTCAAGTTTATGCTAATTTATCCATTCAACAAACAGCTGATCGTCGAACAATTGAAAGAGCTAGTAGTAGTTTTATGTATAAATTTGATAAATTATTGATTCGTTTCTGGGGTGAATATATACTTGGTCCACGTCATCATCCATTTATTGTTTCAATTAAACGAAATACAAATGGTACATTTTATTTTACATCTACACCAATAGATATTCTTTTTGGTATGGATGCTGATTCACCACTAAGATTAGTTGGAGATAGTACTAGTGATTGGTCATTTAGTGCAAGCGGAAACAAATTTGCTTATACAAGACAATATGATGAAACAAGTGCAGCTGTTTGGTCAACAAATTTCGATATATACACGGTTGATTTAACTGCATCTAACTTAACTAGTGTATGCATGACATGTGAAAATCTTGCAGCAGATGCAAATCCAAGATATTCACCAATAGATGATCAAGTTCTAATCTATCTAGCACAGTCAATTCCTAATTATGGAGGAGATCAATGGAAAATTAAAGTGTACAATGGTAAGTTTGACTCTTTAAATAAAGATTTTTTTAAAGAATTTTCTTCTTTTCAATGCTTTCAGGTTCTCATCCAAAAAGAACTCTTCTGGATAATTGGGATCGGAGTATTTCATCTGTAACATGGTCACTTGATGGCCAATCATTGTTCATTGAGTTAGGTGAAGAAGCAAGTCATGTTATTTATAAATTCTCTAATATCTTATCACCTTCGTCGACTCCTATTCGTCTGATTAGCAATGGTTCATCACATGATGTTAATATTCATCCGGCGAATAATGAAATATTTATATTTACTCATAAAAGCATTACTCAACCAACGAATATTTATTTATATACATCCCAAACATCAATGCGACCTATTACCAGTCACAATAATAATCTTTTAGATAAAGTACGAATGAGTACAGTAGTTGAAAAATTTCATTTCATAGGTGCGCAACGTGAAACGGTATGGGGATGGCATGTACAACCAATAAATGGCACAGCTGAAAAAGCGCCACTGGTTTTTCTTATTCACGGCGGTCCGCAAGTTTGTTACTATGATGAATGGAGGTATAGTTTAAATTTTCAAATATTTGCATCAAAAGGTTATGCTGTTATTGCAATTAATTTTCATGGATCCACGTCATACGGACAAAATTTTACTGATAGTATTATAGGTCAATATGGTGCATTACCCTATGAAGATTTACAGATCGGGCTCACTGAAGTTTTACGTAATTATAATTATATTGATGGAAATCGAGCTATAGCATTAGGTGCTAGTTATGGTGGTTATATGGTCAATTGGATTGCTGGCCATCCCGAGATGAGTCGACGTTTTAAAACACTCATTTCGTATGCTGGTATATTTGATCTAAGACAAATGGCTTATTCAATGGATAACGTGGGGGCTATGGATGAGGTAGTCGGTGGTTTCGCTCCTTATGAAAATCCTGATGCATTTGAAAAATTTAATCCGATCAATCATGTTGCAAATTGGACTCAACCAATGCTAATTATTCATGGTGCTCATGATTATCGTGTACCTGATACACAAGGAATTAGTGCATTTACGGCCTTACAACGGCGCGGTATTCCAAGTCGAATGCTTTATTTTCCTACGGAAAGCCACGGAATATCAAATCCATTCAATTCACTTATCTTGTACCAAGAAATATTTGATTGGATGAACAAATGGATCTCATAGCCAAAGACACTTTATTTTTGTTCTTTCGCTTATTGAAATCTTTACTTTTTCTTTGTAATTCTATCTGCAAACGACTACACTTGTATCTTGCATAAGAAAGTATTGTGACAACCGAAAAAATCATTTTTAATATTGTTGTATCAATAGACTTTTTACTATTATATAACCAAAGGCACCTATGTATGCCTACCAATGCAATAGAAGTCAAAGATTTTCAATGCAAAGGTAATTCTTCGAGACGTGATATATGACGAAGAAGAAGTACAATTTGTGCATCATAAGCTGCATTTCAGATTAGGTGAATCATTCTAGAAAAATACAAACCAATGACTATATCATCATCAGAAATGGTAACTAAGCCAGGTGCTTTGTATTTCTAAAAGTAAGACATGCAATCACCAGACTTTGGACAATGGTTGATCCATGACCTATGTAATAAGTATAATAACAAGCAATGTTGTCAACTGTTTGAGACGACCATCAAGTAAAGAAAGACAATCTTTAAAACTATTCATTTTAATGCATAATTAAACGTTAAACCTGGACAATTGCCAATCGATGATCTTCGTTGAAATTGAAGAGTTTTCAGTTTAATAAAATAAGGATAATGAGCAAAAATAGAAGAATACGTTCCATATATCATGATTCGAGAATGAGACTTTTCGCATTATCATGAACTCGTGGTTATGTATCGAAGCGGAATCGATCAAATAGTGAGGTAGAAATTGAGAGTATTGATGAAAATTTGGTATTGTGCTGAAATGTGAAGTCTTCCATTATTAATACCCAATAGTGAATCAAGAATGTCGATATTATTGAGTTTTTTCAAAATAATAAACAAGATTTCATTTGGTAGATGAACATCAGATCAATTCATATTTGATAGTGACTGTACAATGTATTTTTGAAATCACATCTATTTCTGCAAGTGCGTTCCATTATTTTCTCATAAATGTTTGCATGATTGAACCAAAGAATGCATGATCTAATGAGAAAAGATGAACTGTTAATAAACAGCTGTAATTGTTCACTGACAAATGGTGATCATTCTCATAATTTTATAATGCTAAGAGCATTTCTTCATTCTTTGTCTATACATACAAGTCGATGAGTCATCAAATCAATGTAAAACTAGATGGTATTCGAGTTTCACTCGCATACGAAATGCGGTGCGAAGCACGAGTCGAGTACACGAAAAAATAAAAAAATTAACGGAAATCGAACAAGCAATCTTAAAATTAATTAGACATCGTTATGGCCTGATTAGTTTCATATTCGCTTGAAATATATACCTTTTCCTGTCTTCAGCAGCTGTAATTAAAACCAAAAAAATCATTACATTTTTTTTAGTTCTCAAGTGATTATAATAGAATTCATTGCTGAGAAAACCTTTTTTTTCGTGATTATCACCATAGCCTTAGAGAAGAAAACAATATAAAATTATCATTTTTGAATGATATTTTTAGGCGAACGAAACTTAGTATTGAAAATTTGAAAATAGATGCAACAAGTTCGATCTTGAAACTGTCATATCTAGTTTGAATGGATCTTCTATCAATTACGATTTTGTAGATTATTGCGTCACTTAATGAGAATTTTTTATGCGTACTCAAGTTAGAAAGAAACTAGATGGTATTCAAGTGAAACTTGAATACGAAATCCGATGCAAAGCTCGAATCGGATCTTCAGGAAAAAACTTCAATTCAGAGAAATCTTGAATACTTTTTATGTAACCATAATGAAATTCATCACTGAGGAAACTTTATTCATTCATACTTAGCGATACATTCTTAAGGATCGATTTCGATTGATCGATTAATTATCTTCATGATTCATTATCATAGATCAGCTGTAAATGAATAGACTATAGTGGCTAACATATGTTCATGACGTCACTTTAATTATCTCTTGATAAATTTCTTTCATTTTCGCCATTTTAGAACCACATTTGTGAGTGAACGGAACTTCAGTTTAAAGATTCGAAGACAGATGCAAAAGGTTCCACCTTGACACTTCGATCTCACATTTCAACGGATTTTCTATGATTTTTCAATCCCGAGATCATGGCACAACAAAATGACTATTTTGATGCGTACGCGTCAAGTTAAAAACAAAAAAAAAACTCGCGACGGACTACATGAATGCCGTGCTTCGCACCGCATTAAAAAATGTACTTATGTTTTTATGAAGGATTAGAAGATAAAAATTTTCTTACAAACTGCTTTTTTGACTTTTCAAAAAAAATCTAATCCTATTCAAGAAATTACCGATCATCGTTAGCATCTATGCCGAGAACATTGAACTCTCACATACATACAATATACATATTGAGAAACATCAACAAACTTTTGAAAGTAATTATTTGTTTATTAGAGAATAGAATAAATATCAAGTATATTTTTCGATCTCTTTATCGTCTCATAAAAACCTCATTCCGAAACAGATAATGAGCATTTAAACTGACTTCAGGGTGCGGAAGAGTGAATAAGAGATCAACTTCCACACTCACATCCTCAAGAGAAGCACAAAACATCTTGTATCTTCTCAGTTTTTATTTCAATGACTTGTTTCTTTCTGAATCTTTATGAAACTGCATTTTTAATTTGATAAAACATTTAAAGCTGAGTGTATGGGTTCTGAGGAAAAAATCATTCATAAAAGATTCTCCAACTATTACCTAAGTCTATAACTCGACATCATGAAGAGAACGAGAGATAAAGAATTTATGGTAATAAGAAAAATGAATAAATATTTTCGAAACTATCTATTCTTCTTTCCGTATCGTACATTCTTTTTAGAGACCATCGCAGAGCAGGACAAGTTAGAGTAAAGCCCCTAAATAGAATGTGAATTTTCAAAAGATTAAAACCTTTTATTTCTTTTGAATTTGGTATCGCATGTCTATGTCCAGCTAAAAATGATGTATTAATTCGGATTCTAATTTTAAAAATGAATAGATAGAAATAAACTCGTTTTCTTTCGGAAATAAAAATCAATGAAATTTTTTTGATTGAAACCAAAAGGCTAATTTTTATAAATTGAAGACAAAGTAAATAATAAAGAAGCTTTTTTTTTTGATAACTTCATTACTCTTTAACTTTTAGTGAGTAGTTCACAAAAAGAAGTTACACTAAGTATCAGAATGAAATACAAAGAAGATACGTTTGTATGCATTAGCTTGTTTCTTGAATCAGGCGACTTTTTAATGTAAGATGAGTTTCTATTCTAGAGAAATGTTGTAATAATCTCTCGAACTTCTGAATTAAGCCAAGTGAAATTGAGTCTGCTGAATTCAAAGAAGCTCTTGATTTAAATCTCCCAGTTAAAGTACGTTTCCATGTTGATCAACGCCTTGAAGAAGAAAATTATACAACATCCTTTTTTTAAAGTAAAGCAGAGGATAGAGTTTGACCGAGATGTTGAGAAAAATGAACGGGTTCTTCATTTTTTGACATCTGTTAGATATGAAAAAATCGCAGGTGATGTCATACTGACGTGCAATATTAATTATATAAAGATAAAGCACAAAAACATCTTTGCCACTGGAGATAACATAACTTCTCTTTTGTTCCTACTTATAGGAATGATAGGCAAACATAGAAACGATTCACAAAGTAGTTTACCCATTTTTTAGAATAAGTTCTTCTAGAACATCTTATGAATATTAACCGTCCATACTTTCGCTTTGGCTTTGTAAATAAGCGAGCGATTACTCTCTCTCTTTTGTTACAATTTGTCATACTTGTTCCAACAAAACAAGACAGCATCACTGCCATCACTGCAGCACTCTTCACAGTAGCAACAGCAGTATCGTCAACAATCACCAGTACAACAATAAAAACTGCTACCGTTCAAGAGTCAAGTGAGTTTTAGAGGTATATCTCATCTTGCTCAATGCTGATTTCGAAGCACTTATAAGTGTTCCTTTTGCACCCGAGTTTATTTTCTATCTAGCTGAAGAGCACCTAAAAGGATCAATGCTTTGCTAATCAGTGACTTTATCTGCGCCGTAAGTAGATACAGTATGATTAAAAAATTGAGAAAAATAAATTTCGAAAATATTCATTTTGACTTTGTTTATTAGAGAAGGCTGAATAACTGGAAGGAATGAGGATGTCAATGGCAGCCTGAGAATTATGCAAGAAACTTTTCTAGATCATTGTTGTCAATATAGAAATACTTAATCGAATTTTTGGTTTGTTCCTTCGTCTCCAGACTCTGCTGCACCTCCTTTGTTTATTTGTAATCGTTGAACTCGAGAAATTGTGGTGAAAATGTAACTTTAATGGTGCGCTTTCGAGCAGTGAAGGAATAAGGTAGAAAAAGACGTAGTTCAGTATGAGTAGAGATGCTCTCATCGCTACAAGGTTCAGACGCATTTCTCAACTCAAAGACTCGAGAATTCATAAGTGCTTTGCCTCAATATGAAAAACGTATGATCAATAGAATCTGTAATAAAACGAAAGCCTCTGTCATTAAGGTAAATAATACCACAACAATGAGAAAATGAAATCATAATCTATCTACGACTTATTCATAGTATTCTTGATAAATATTTGAGCCCTTAGAAGAAATCTGAAACGTTTTGAGATTCCATGTAAACTTAAAAGTTCGTATAAAAAATGAGAAACGAGTTTTGTTGTACAAAATCTGAAGCTCACTATGTACAATCACATTATCTTGTGTGTACCTGAATGCATATTCTCTTCAGTAAGGATATAGTTGAATGATTGTATCTAGAATGGTCTAATGCTGACAATATGAATAATGAACGAATTGATCATACAACATCCGTGTTAAGGAATGGGAAAGCGCTGGTTACTGGTGGTTGCAATGGTTCTCTTCTAAATGATGCTGAGTTGTACGATCCAGTCGCACGAACTTGGACAGCTACTCACAGCATGAATTATGCACGAAGTTTACACACAGCATCCCTATTACCGAATGGAAAAGTGTTGGTTACTGGTGGATTCAATATCACTAGTATCATGAATGGTGCTCCAACTTGGGATATATCAAGAGAAAGATTCACGATGCTGGATAAAATGAGCAACCGAAAGGTATTAGTGGATGGCGGAGACAATGGTCTGAGTTCTATCAATAGTGCTGAACTATATGATCCATTAACAGGCATCTGGACAACGACTGGTAGTATGAATTTTGCTCGAGCAGGACATACAGCATCCCTATTACCCAATGGAAAAGTGTTAGTCGTTGGTGGAGCTTTTGTGGTGAGTCTACAAACTGCTGAGTTGTATGATCCATCAACGGGAACATGGACCAATGCTAGTAGTTTGAATCATCCGCGATTGTGTCACAAAACCATCCTATTAAAAAATGGAAAAGTTTTAGTTACTGGGGGATATTTTGATGTATCTGTACATACGTGTGAGCTGTATGATCCATCAACAGACACATGGAACAATACTGTTATGCTCCATTATGCACGAATTTATCACTCAGTCGTCGGGTTACCAAATGGAAAAGCATTGATTACTGGAGGGCAGGCCCTGGAGTCTCTAAATATTTCTGAGTTATATGATCCAACAACTGAAATGTGGACATACACAAGTCATATGAATAATGCACGTGCATGGCATACCGCATCATTATTAACGGACGGCAAAGTGTTAGTTACTGGTGGGTTTAGTGATAATTTTTATATCAAGTTGAATAGTTCTGAGTTGTACGATCCTTTAACAGAAATGTGGACAACTACTGATAGTATGAATAATGCACGAGCGGGACATACAGCATCCGTGTTAACAAATGGTAATGTATTAGTTACTGGCGGATATGGTGAGGATCAGAGTTATCCTGCTAGTACTGAATTGTATCTCCTATCAACAAAAACATTGACAACGATCGATCAAATGGAGAATGTCGAAAATGATCGCAAAGAATCGGTATTAACAAATGAGAAAGTGTCAGTTAACCGTGGACATAACAATGCGATATCGAACACTTCCAACGAATCAAGAGTATGAGCGACTTTGCTCTTTTGACATGATTCATCTTTTTTCAGTTTCATTCCTTTGAACCTAGCTTTCTTATTTTGACAGTCATCAACTGTTTCCTTTCGCTTATTTTTTAGTCGATGCGTGTCGGGGTGTGGATGTGTTTATCTGAAGCAAGGGATAGACACTCACAGCTACACCCACACCCCGTCAAACCATATTATTCTTGGCATGATCTCTATTCAAACCTAATTTTCTCAATTCGACCTTTGCTATAAATGTGTAGTTTATATTTTATTTTAAATTATATCAATATGCTAATAGATAAAAAAAATATGCTTTATAATATACATATATATATATTTCTTTTTCATTTATGTTCAGATTCAATCACTGAAGATCCGTGCCGATAAATGAACTTGTTCAGTTTTGATGTTGCTGATCCAATAGAACTGGTATTCAGCCGTTGATTGGCTATCATACGAGCACATAAACATTTAAGACATGTTGGACTTGCTCTGGATTTGAGAAAAGCTTTGGTTTCCTGGCCAGTTGCATACATCAATGGTGTG